ACTTTTCTGAAATTAGTTTTATGCGCTAACTTCATAGTGTTATGCAAATGACATTTTTTGGTTATGTAAATTTGTTGTCATAATTGAAATTTATCAGATGACTATCCACGTCGAAAAGTTCCATGGAAGTACCCCCCTGGAAATTCCGTGGAGCCTCTCCACGGAATTTCCGTTGAGATTCCGTGGAAATTCCACGGAAATTTTGCAAATTTTAATTTTAATATTCTTTCAACATTTCTATCATGATTAGAGTCTAATAATAAGTTTTGTTGCAATTTATTTGCAAAATTCGTATTTTCATCGATATCTAGATGTTTTAAACTAGTTTCGAGGACTTATATCCCTATAAAAAATTGTAAGATGATGTGATACTTACTGTTTGAAGAAAAATTAGTAGAAATAATAATATAATAAATTCAAAAGCAACTTTGAATAGTTTTAAAATTTTGAAATCGATAAATCATGGTGAGTTAATGTTTACTTTTAGTTATTGCATTAAATCAGTATTAAAGAAATTGAAATAGAAAAAATAAAGCCTGATTTTTCTTTCAAATATTTTTTATGTTTATTAAAATTATTCATTTATCTAATATTGAAAAATCATGTAACATGTGCTTTTTTATTTCATGCTTGCCTTCATCAAATACAATATAAATATCTAATATAATAATATTAATAATAGATAATATATAATAACAATATATGATAATAGATAATACAAATTTATAGATAATATAAAAAAGAATTTCTCTATGTTAAATAAAATCATTTAATAAGAAGTATGTTGATACTCACAAATACAAACTAATCTTTAAAATTACAATTCAAACTATTACATTTAAAAAAACAAGAATCTGATTAATAATACTTTTCTTTTATGATTTGAAAATGAAGTTACTTTCTTTCATAATCATTTGGAAATAAGCAGACATAATTTTGAACCCTGAGAACTTTTCCTTTTATAGCAGCAATAGGAATAGCATGCAGACAATACGAATCTCTTATTGGGTGGATAATAGAACTCAAGCTGAAGCCTATCTGTGTTTGTACTATTTCAGATTTTTTATCTGAAGTTGGTAACAACTGTTTAATAATAGCAAAAGAACCATGATTATTAACCACTACAAAACAATGAATTTCACCAAACATTATGCTATTTTGTCCTTCCCAATGAACACAAGAGTTGCATCTTACTTTTTGCCTAGTGTAAATTTTCGAAGTATATATATCATCGTGTAATTTATATCTAGCGTAAATTGTAATCTGTGTTTCCAATAATTGTTGATCACTTAGTGCAGTTGCTATTCTTAATGATCTCTTTTGATCATTTGTTAATGCATATTCTATTTCAGGTCCATGTGGTTGATATTCTGATCCTTTGGCACATTGTTCTTCATTTATTAAATATTTGATTGCCTTGTAAGCATGAATGATTTTAATATTATTAAAAATTTCAATGTCAATTTTATTAGGTCCATGTACGATTTTTAGAAGCTCACCATTTCCATCCTCAAACGAAAAAGCAGACCAAGCCCACAATGGACCCCACATTCTTACATTATCAGGCAGATGTGATAGCTGATGGACATTAAAGGAGCATTTTCTTTTACTGTAAAGGACTTCGAAATCTGAGACAAAAATATTAATTAGTGTCTCAGCATAATCAATTTCTACAGGATCTATTTCTGTTTTTAAAAGTATATGAATAGTCTGTACAAGTAGCAGATAGTGATCGTAAAACTTCTTCAATAATCTATTTTTTAAAACTATCGGCCCGTAGTAAAGAAGAAAAGCTCTAAATTCACTAGCTTTCCAAAATTTTACATATTGAAGACTTCTAGGAGCCCTTGTTACGTTGTCTGGCGGTGTGATTTCTTCTAAAATCTTATTTATTTCTTTTCGAAGTTTCTTCCCGATATAATAATCTTCATCGTGATTAGAAGAATCAAACCACAGGCTGACAAGTAACATTTTCATCACACCTAAGAGAACTGCATGCATGTAGTCGTGAGGGAAACCCTTAGCTGTATCAAAATAAGGTATTTTACTGGCAATAGATCTTCCTTTCACTCCTCTAAAATGATTTAATAATTCTCCGTACATCTCTTTTATTTCAGCCTGCCTGGACATCCTTTCGGCAGTTCTCCGTATAAATTTTGTTGGTTCCATTGGAAATACTCTGTTGTGTCCATTTCCTGTTTTGCAAGTTTCCCCTGGATGTTCGCAACTTGGGCACGGAAACTCACCATTATATAACATTAGATTTTGAATAGACGCTTTAGCAGGGGCATCTAGGGTTGCAATAGGAGCGACAACTTTACTTTTCATTCTACAACCTGATGTTGCTTGTATCCAATTAATTCCATCTGTGTGTAGCTCATTTAACACAGTTGTAAATGGTTCCAAATATGAACTCATAACAGGCTTTTTTATTTTCTTGTTACAGTAGAATAATCCACAAACAAATTGAAAACTTCTACGAAATTTAGGAGCTATGTTTGCAATTTGAGCATGAATTGGCCATAGCTGGCTAGCAGATCCATCAGCAGTCGGAACACCGTCTACGTTCCATATTAAAAAAATATCATATTTATTTAAGGGTACGATACTACGCAATCGATTAAATTCTGATCCATTCACAACATCGTAAATTTTTTTAGGATTCCTTTTAGAACATTCAAGATCATATTCATCGATTAACTTATCAAGACGCCTGACTTCGAATGCATCTCTTAATACAGATGAAATTGAGTACACGAGAAACATCCCTTTAATGTTTAAACTTTCACAGACAGAACATCTTCTAACATTCATTGTTTCAGACCACGGCCCTAAATTTTTAAAGCAGTCATCGCAAACGCGATATTTTATAATTGTATCATTTTGTGAGTTGGGTAACACTTTTTCAATAAGCTTCATAAACATATATTTATTTTTCGGTATTGTGCTTGTCTCGGGTAACAGAAAATGTATTGTTTTTAAAATATCCTCCAAAGCTCTTTTTGTCAATCGATTTTTAATATATAAATTTAAAATTCTTAATAGTGCATCTCCACCGACAACAGCAGAATTTTCAAAAATTGGTTGACTTAGCCAGTCCAAATAATAATTAATATTTTCACAATTATTATCTGAAACAGATTCTTGTTCAAGTGAAATGGAAGACATGGATGAAATTGATAAGTTATGTGATAGTTGAGATGAATTTGAGATTTCTTCGTCATTGTTAATAAATGATCCACCTGAATCAGATAAAGGATCAAAACCCTCTTCATTAGGAGCAATAGAATTTTGGTATTCCAAATCCTACAAATAATAATGTCTATTAGAAGGGAAGACTCAATATATTTTTAATTGAGCTCTCTAAATTTTAATTAGTAAAATTTTACTAATTATGAGTATAATTCTACCTTTCTGCCAATTGATATGACCAGATTTTATTATAGATAATAGTAAAAATAATAATAATAATAATAGTAAAAAATAATTATAGTAAAATAATAATAATAATTATAATAAAAAATGATAATAGTAATATGATAATTATAGTAAAAATTTACTAATTTAATTAGTAAGATAAAGGTTATTTATTAATTTATCAAATAATTTTAAAGGTTATATTGGTTTTTCTTCGTCTATTAATTGGATCAGAAATTTTACAAGAATTTAGTAATTCATTAGTTTAAACTGTATTCATGATTGAATAAGCAAAATTTTTACTAATTTAAATTTAGAAAGTGTTTCAGAAATATTAAATTTTTTTATAAAATATATTATTATTTATATTTATATATCACATTGTTAAAGAAATTATTTTTATTAAGTTAACCAAACATTTAAATTTAATTGAAAGTATTTTTGAGAAAATAATTTTCGAAAGTTTAGGAATAATAAATTACAGATCAAAGCTATTAATAGTATATCAATTCGGAAATTTTGACAAAATATTTATTAGTTTGTATTTTCCTTGAAAATAATAATAAATTATCCAAAAACTTCAAGTCCAAATATTTTTTAACAATAAGCAAAAAGTTATTATCATTTTAAACAGTATTAGAAATTTTCTTGTTAAAATTACCTCAATGTAAGCATTATCATCATCTATTTCTGCTTCTAAGTTAGAATTACTGTCATCAGATGGAAGAAAAGAGACATCACTACTGTGCACACTCGGACGTTGAGTATCAGACGTTGAGTTAAACTACAATTTTTAATACACATTTTTTAATAGTATATATATATATATATATATATATATATATAATATATAATATATATAATATATATATATATATAATCTCATTAGTCTTCTGCATATGCATGATATTTTGAGATTATGTTATATTTTGAGCAATAGAATTTGTTTGGTAAAAGGTACCTCAACGTCACGATGGTAATGATCAAAATCAATTTCTTTCTCAAAATCAGTTGAAATGTGAACACTTAAAAGGCTTGAATCGTCATTGTTTATAATATCTTCAGTTTCTGACATTGAATTATACTAGAAGTGAAATAAATTTTTTTTAATCAATTCAATTTTTTAATAAATATTGAATTAAATTAATGTTGAAAATATTATTATTATTATTATTATTAATAATAATAATAATAATAATAATAATAATTATTATTATTATTAATATTATTATTATTATTTATTTAATTAAATTAATGTTGTGTTTTAAAGTTGTAAAAAAGTTATATTTTTATAATTAAAATTACGTCAATATCATTCTCCAATTCAGTTTCTAAATCACTGATATCACTCAAAGTACTAGAATCATCATTTACGTTCCAATTTTCAGCTTCAGACATTGTGATCGTTGTAACGTTTTAACCAAGTTTTTCAACGAATTTAATTTTTTTCCCATTACAATTTGTTCTTTAAAAACAAAACTTAAAGTCAAATTCACGATGGTTCGTTATATTCGTATCCCTTAGCAACGAAAAAGATAACAAATAAACCATAAACTATCAGGTTATTAAATTGTAAACACAAAATGAGTTGTGAATTACAATATTTAATCGACGCTACTCAAGATGATGGATGGTTTTATATAATTAATAAAACAGCCATTTTAGTAACGGAAATTGATGAAATCGTTGTAGGTGCTAAAGTGCAATTTCTTTATCCAGAAAATGCAACAAAACCTAAAGTGAGAAAAGGAGTCATTTTACAAGAATCAGGTAAATATAATTAATTTTGAATAAAGATATTAATTTTCTATTAAAATAATAAAAATTGCTTTTAAATTTGTATATCCACCTAGCACAATTTTTTTTAAAGTAAAATAATTTTTATAATTTTATAGTAAAATAATACTTTCTAGTTTAAATATTTTTAAAATTTTAGAGAACGAAACTGTCTTACAAAAAGAAATGGACAAAAGATGCCGTGATCTCGAAAAATCCAACAACAAGAAAAATCATAACCAAACCAAAAAAGAACAAGAGAAAAAAAACGTTGAAGCAACAAAAAGAGTAAGGGTTATATTAAAATTCTATTATTTATTTATTTGCTAATAATTATGTACATTAGTTAAAAGTTTTACTATATTATTTTCAAACTAAATAAAAAAAATAAATAAAAATAATAATAAAAAATAATAAATAAATAATATAAATAATAATAAAAATAATAACTAAATAAAGTAAATATAAAAAGCTGATAAATTGATGTATATATGTGTAGAAACTTTAAAATAATATTTAGAGAATTTGACAATTTTAAAATAAAATATGAACAACATTATTAAATTAAATTTAAAATAAATTCATTTTTCTTAATATGTTAAATAATTAGATAAACAATTAGATTTTTAATTTGCATTTTAAGTATTTTTATTATCTCTTATTTAATTGTTTTCTGTATATTTATTTAATAGTCAAAGAAATTGGAGAAAATTAAAACTTCCAATATATTAATGGCCAAAGAATTACATGAGGATATGAATAATTCATTGAAGAAGAAACCTTTGCAATTTGAGGAAATTCTTGACAATGCATTATCTTTAACAGATAAGCTGTTCGATGCTCTTTATCATATGAAAATGGTACCATTGCTTTATTAAATTTTAAACCTAAGAAAGTACTTTCTAATTTAAAAAATGTTACATTAATTAATTGCTTAATACCATCAAAATTGGTTTTTTAAATTATAAAAAAATTGTTGATATATTAATTATAATATATTATACATTTTTTATTGCAGGAGGTTCAAATGGAATATGAATCTGTGCCAAAGGAACATGGAAGTAAAATAAATAGTGAAATGATACAAAATGTGGATGGAAATAATAAGAATGATAATGAGATGCAAGAGGAAGTTATTGATAGAAATTATAATGCAATGTCAAAAATTGATAAGAATGATAATGAGACGCAAAAAAAAGTTATGGATAAAAATGATAATGCAAAGTCAAAAAATGTTCAGAATGATAATAAGATGCAAGATTATAATAAAGATAAAAATGAAGATATGGATTTGGAAAATGAGTTTGAAAATCACATGTTCTTAAGTGAAAATAACGAAAAGTCTAAAGATATTAATGAAAAGATAGGTGATTCTAGAAATAATAAATCAAAATCGAATGAAGATCTTTGCATGGAATTGGAAACAGAGGTTATGACTTCACTGACTATTCCTGATTCACAAGAAATTTTGGATTCATCCGCAGAGGCTGAATCTCTAAAAGAAACTACAGACATTCGTCCTTCTTCATCATCTGACAATCCGTCCTTTTCTCATGAAGTAGGAATTAATAGAAAGGATTCAGTTTCCCCTGAAAGCTTGTGGATGATGAAGTGCAAAGCTTCGGACTGTGATAATGTGACAGTAAGATAACATTAATTATAAAATTAATATAATTAATTAATTTCTAAAATTAAATATTTTTTATTTTGTTCACTTTTTATAAAGAATTTAATCTTATAAGATTATAGAATGAAATGAATTTTTAATTTATACTGTTAGAAAAAAAATATTTTTTGTGTCTATTGCAATTTTTTTAAATTAGTGATGAATTTTTTTCTAAATTAATTAAATTAACTGAATTCTACATAAAATACTTTGATACAGGTTATCGAATTAGTCAACAATAGTGGAGTATATATAAATAAACATGGATTGAAGCGGGCTATAACAAGATCAAATACTTCCACAGTTTTGGCGAGGTCAATTTTAGTTGAACTTTTTAAAAATGATGCTCTTGCAAGTATGAAGCTGAAGCTGGCACCCAGTTATCAGCACTCACTTATTTTTTCAAAATTTTATGTTGGCAATGAAACAAAAGAAAACCATAGCTGAGAAAATCAAACGGTTCTAACAGAATGTATATTCTTCAAAGGTTATACATTAAAAACAATTGAATACAAATCAATAAAAAAAAAATCTAAAAGGATTTTCATTTCTAATGCAGAGAAAAATAATAAAATAAATAAAGAAAAAGCATAATAATCACATATAATTAAAAATAAAATAAAATTAATTAATAATTAATTAATTAAATTTAATTAATTAATTAAATTAATTAATTAATTTAATTTAATTTTTGTGGCCACTTGACCGGGAAACCGGGAAATGACCGGGAATTGAAAAATTGACCGGGAAATTACCGGGAAATTTGATACTAAACCGGGAATTTATTTTTTATTTTTAATTTTATTTTTAAACTGACCCAAACAAAATTTTTTTTTTAATTTTTACTCGAGAAGTATATTGTACATAAGTAGGTATAGTAGAGAATACATAAATTAACAGACTTTTGTTAGGGATGAAGAGGGGTTTATGAGAAAATAATATACTTATTTAAATTTAAAGAAATCCTTTTATTTTAAGCGGATTTTTCTTTTAGTATTTATTCCACAGGATTTTTCTCATAATTTTTATTATTTTTCATACGCTTATTTCAGTTTTAAAGAATCAATCATAAAGTTCAATATGAGAATTTTTAGTTCATTTAAAAAATAAGAAATTTGTAAAATAGTAAAAATTTATTATTTTTTTTACAATTTTCATATTATTGTCAGTTCGGAAAAATGTCAAAAAAATGTTATCTCTAAATGAGCTCAATATATTGATTAGTTTAAATTTGTAATATGCATAATACACAATAATTTAAGATAATTTTTTTTGTTTGTTATTAATATTTTTAATATTTCAAACTAAAATATTGTTTTAATGTATTATACAATGACCGGGAAATAAAAAAAAATTGACCGGGAAAACCGGGAAAAAACCGGGAATTCAATTTTCTACAAAAAGTGGCCACCCTTTATTTATTAATGCTTATATGATTTTTATTTTAATTGTATTTAGAAAAAATGTCATTACAATAAGTTAATAATAATAATAGTAATAAATAACAATATATTATTGCCTATATTTAAAAAAAAAGTTTAAATATTAATTAAAAAATAATTAATAAAAAAAAGCAAACCAAAAATAGATACCTAGTTTTTGTTGAAATACTATTGTGAGATTAATATAGACCAAAAAAATTTAATTAGACCGCGGGACAAGACCATTGGGCCTTAAAAAATGATTTTTTCTGGAAAAAAACCAATTTTTTAATTTTGAAAAAATTCACAATTTCTTCCTTGACTATTTTTAACTATCGATTTTTATTGAAATACTTTTGTCACATTAGTATAAACCTAAAAAATTTTATTAGACCGCGGGACAAGACCATTGGGCCTTAAAGAATGATTTTTTCTAAAAAAAACCAAACTTCTAATTTTGAAAAAATTCAAATTTTCTTCCTTGACTATTTTTAACTATCGATTTTTGTTGAAATACTTTTGTCAGATTAGTATAAACCTTAAAAATTTTATTAGACCGCTAGACAAGACCACTGGGCCTCAAAAAATTATTTTTTCTGGAAAAAACCAATTTTTTAATTTTGAAAAAATTCACATCTTCTTCCTTGACTATTTTTAACTATCGATTTTTGTTGAAATACTTTTTTCAGATTAGTCTAAAACTAAAAATAATTATTAGACCGCGGGACAAGACCATTAGGCCTCAAAAAATTATTTTTTCTGGAAAAAACCAATTTTTTAATTTTGAAAAAATTCACAATTTCTTCCTTGACTATTTTTAACTATCGATTTTTGTTGAAATACTTTTGTCAGATTAGTATAAACCTTAAAAATTTTATTAGACCGCGGGACAAGACCACTGGGCCTCAAAAAATTATTTTTTCTGGAAAAAACCAATTTTTTAATTTTGAAAAAATTCACATCTTCTTCCTTGACTATTTTTAACTATCGATTTTTGTTGAAATACTTTTGTTAGATTAGTATAAACCTTAAAAATTTTATTAAACCGCGGGACAAGACCAATGGGCCTTAAAAAATGATTTTTTCTGGAAAAAACCAATTTTTTAATTTTGAAAAAATTCACATCTTCTTCCATGACTATTTTTAACTATCAATTTTTGTTGAAATACTTTTGTCAGATTAGTATAAACCTTAAAAATTTTATTAGACCGCGGGACAAGACCAATGGGCCTTAAAAAATGATTTTTTCTGGAAAAAACCAATTTTTTAATTTTGAAAAAATTCACAATTTCTTCCTTGACTATTTTTAACTATCGATTTTTGTTGAAATACTTTTGCCACATTAGTATAAACCTAAAAAATTTTATAAGACCGCGGGACAAGACCATTGGGCCTTAAAGAATGATTTTTTCTAAAAAAAACCAAACTTCTAATTTTGAAAAAATTCAAATTTTCTTCCTTGACTATTTTTAATTATTGATTTTTGATGACATACTTTTGTCAGAGTAGTATAAACCTTAAAAATTTTATTAGACCGCGGGACAAGACCACTGGGCCTCAAAAAATTATTTTTTCTGGAAAAAACCAATTTTTTAATTTTGAAAAAATTCACATCTTCTTCCTTGACTATTTTTAACTATCGATTTTTGTTGAAATACTTTTTTCAGATTAGTCTTAAACTAAAAATAATTATTAGACCGCGAAACAAGAACAATGGGCCTTAAAAAATGATTTTTTCTGGAAAAAACCAATTTTTGAAATTTTGAAAAAATTCACAATTTCTTCCTTGACTATTTTTAACTATCAATTTTTGTTGAAATACTTTTTTCAGATTAGTATAAAACTAAAAATAAGTATTAGACCGCGGAACAAGATCATTGGGCCTCAAAAAATTATTTTTTCTGGAAAAAACCAATTTTTTAATTTTGAAAAAATTCACATCTTCTTCCTTGACTATTTTTAACTATCGATTTTTGTTGAAATACTTTTGTCTGATTAGTATAAACCTTAAAAATTTTAATAGACCGCGGGACAAGACCAATGGGCCTTAAAAAATGATTTTTTCTGGAAAAACCCAATTTTTTAATTTTGAAAAAATTCACATCTTCTTCCATGACTATTTTTAACTATCGATTTTTGTTGACATACTTTTGTCAGATTAGTATAAACCTTAAAAATTTTATTAGACCGCGGGACAAGACCACTGGGCCTCAAAAAATTATTTTTTCTGGAAAAAACCAATTTTTTAATTTTGAAAAAATTCACATCTTCTTCCTTGACTATTTTTAACTATCGATTTTTGTTGAAATACTTTTGTTAGATTAGTATAAACCTTAAAAATTTTATTAAACCGCGGGACAAGACCATTAGGCCTCAAAAAATTATTTTTTCTGGAAAAAACCAATTTTTTAATTTTGAAAAAATTCACAATTTCTTCCTTGACTATTTTTAACTATCGATTTTTGTTGAAATACTTTTGTCTGATTAGTATAAACCTTAAAAATTTTAATAGACCGCGGGACAAGACCAATGGGCCTTAAAAAATAATTTTTTCTGGAAAAAACCAATTTTTTAATTTTGAAAAAATTCACAATTTCTTCCTTGACTATTTTTAACTATTAATTTTTGTTGAAATACTTTTGTCACATTAGTATAAACCTACAAAATTTTATTAGACCGCGGGACAAGACCATTGGGCCTCAAAAAATTATTTTTTCTGGAAAAAACCAATTTTTTAATTTTAAAAAATTTCACATCTTCTTCCTTGACTATTTTTAACTATCGATTTTTGTTGAAATACTTTTTTCAGATTAGTCGCAAACTAAAAATAATTATTAGACCGCGGGACAAGACCAATGGGCCTTAAAAAATGATTTTTTCTGGAAAAAACCAATTTCTTAATTTTGAAAAAATTCACAATTTCTTCCTTGACTATTTTTAACTATTGATTTTTGTTGAAATACTTTTGTCAGATTAGTATAAACCTTAAAAATTTTATTAGACCGCGGGACAAGACCACTGGGCCTCAAAAAATTATTTTTTCTGGAAAAAACCAATTTTTTAATTTTGAAAAAATTCACATTTTCTTTCTTGACTATTTTTAACTATCGATTTTTGATGAAATACTTTTTTCAGATTAGTCGCAAACTATAAAAATAATTATTAGACCGCGGGACAAGACCAATGGGCCTTGAAGAATGATTTTTTCTGGAAAAAACCAATTTTTGAAATTTTGAAAAAATTCACAATTTCTTCCTTGACTATTTTTAACTATCAATTTTTGTTGAAATACTTTTTTCAGATTAGTATAAAACTAAAAATAATTATTAGACCGCGGGACAAGATCATTGGGCCTTAAAAAATGATTTTTTTCGGGAAAAACCCAATTTTTTAATTTTGAAAAAATTCACAATTTCTTCCTTGACTATTTTTAACTATCAATTTTTGTTGAAATACTTTTTTCAGATTAGTATAAAACTAAAAATAATTATTAGACCGCGGGACAAGATCATTGGGCCTTAAAAAATGATTTTTTCGGGAAAAACCCAATTTTTTAATTTTGAAAAAATTCACAATTTCTTCCTTGACTATTTTTAACTATCGATTTTTGTTGAAATACTTTTGTTAGATTAGTATAAACCTTAAAAATTTTATTAAACCGCGGGACAAGACCATTGGGCCTTAAAAAATGATTTTTTCTGGAAAAAACCAATTTTTTAATTTTGAAAAAATTCACAATTTCTTCCTTGACTATTTTTAACTATCGATTTTTGTTGAAATACTTTTGTCAGATTAGTATAAACCTTAAAAATTTTATTAGACCGCGGGACAAGACCACTGGGCCTCAAAAAATTATTTTTTCTAGAAAAAACCAATTTTTTAAGTTTGAAAAAATTCACAATTTTTTCCTTGACTATTTTTAACTATCGATTTT